TCGTCTCACTCTCGTCATCTCTCGTATCCCTCTTCTACACTTCTCGTCATTCTCTCCTATCTTTCCCTCTCCATTCTCCTATCTCGTCTCACTCTCGTCATCTCTCGTATCCCTCTTCTACACTTCTCGTCATTCTCTCCTATCCCTTTCTCACCTTCTCGTCATTCTCTCCTATCCCTTCTTCTCACCGATTTTCCTTCCCGCTCATTCTCTCGCTATCCTCTTCTCACCTTCATCGTCATTCTCTCCTAATCCCTCTTCTCACCTCTCAGTCATGCTCGTCCTATCCCATCTTCTCACCTTCTGCGTCATTCTCTCCTATCCCTCTCTCACCTTCTCGTGCATCCTCTCCTTATCCTCTCTCACCCTCTCGTCGATCCTCTCGCTATCGCCTCTTTCTCACGCCTCTCGTCACTCTCCGTGACCACCTCTTCTCACCCTCTCGTCAGCCTCTCCTATCCTCTTCCTCATCCTCTTCGTCATCCTCTCCTAATCCCTCTTCTACCGCCTGCTCGTGCATTCTCTCCTAATCCCTCTTCTGCACCTTCTCGTCATTCTCTCCTATCCTCTTCTCAACCTCTCGTCACCTCTCCTATCCTTCCCTCTGTCTTCTCTACTCCTCACCTTCGTCATCCTCTCCTATCCTCTCTTTTCACCCTTCTCCGTCATCCTCTCCTCATCCTCCTTCTCACCATCTCGTCATCCTCTCCTATCCCTCTTCTCACCTCTCTGCGTCATCCTCTCCTATATCCTCTTCTCACCCTCTCTGTCGTCATCGCTCTCCTATCCCTCATTACTCACCCTCTCGTCATCTCTCCATATCCCTCCTTCCAACCTTCTCGTCATGCCTTCTATCGCCCCTATCCTATCTTCTCAGCTTCTCCCCTCTTCGTCATCCTCTCCTATCCCTCTTCTCACCCTCTCGTCCATCCTACTCCTATCCCTCTTCTCACTCTCTCGTCATTCTCTTCCTAATCCTCTTCTGCACCTTTCATCGTCATTCTTCTCGCTACGTGCTCCCTCGTGTCGTCACCTCTTCACCTTCTCGTCATCCTCTCCTAATCCCTCTTCTCACCTATCTCGTCATCCTCTCCTATCCCTCTTCTCACCTTCGTCATCCTCTCCATATCGCCTTCTTCTCACGCCTCTCGTCTCCATCTCCTATCCTCTTCTCACTTCTCGTCATCTCTCTCTATCCCTCTTCTCACCTTACTCGTCATTCTCTCCTATCCTCTTCTCACCTTCTCGTCATTCTCTCCTATCCTCTTCTACCCTCTCCGTCATCCTCTCCTATCCCTCTTCTCACCCTCTCGTCATTCCTTTACTCCTACCCTCTTCTCACCCCTTCTGGTCATTCTCTCCTAATCCTCTTTCTCACCTTCTCGTCATTCTCTCTATCCCTCTTCTCACCTCTCGTCATCCTCTCTATCCCTCTTCTCACCCTCTCGTCATCCTCTCCTATCCCTCTTCTCACCTCTCGTCATCTCTTCCTATCCCTCTTCTCACCTCTCGTCATTCTCTCCTATCCCTCTTCTCACCTTCTTCGTCATTCTCTCCTATCCCTCTTCTTCACCTTCTCGTCATCTCTCCTATCCCTCTTCTCACCTTCTCGTCATCCTCTGCTATCCCTCTTCTCACCCTCTCGTCATCCTCTCCTATCCTCTTCTCACCCTCTCGTCATCCTCTCCTATCCCTCTTCTCACCCTTCTCGTCCTTTCTTAATCCTCTTCTCACCTTCTCGTCATTCTCTCCTATCCTCTTCTCACCTTCTCGTCATCTCTCCTATCCCTCTTTCTCACCTTCTCGTCATCCTCTCCTATCCCTCTTCTCACCCTCTCCTCCCTCACTCCTAACTCTTTCCTATAACTCTCTTCTAACTCACTCCTGACCGTCTCCTCACCCTCTCGCCCCCTCTCCCCACCCTCTCTTAACCCTCTCCTAACCCTCTCCCAAATTCTAACACCTATCAACAACCCCCAATCCTCACTGCATAACCGTAACTCGCTGCTAGCCCCCCCCTCCCCTCGCCCCCCCCCCCCCCTGAGAGAGAGAGAGAGAGAGAGAGAGAGACAGAGAGAAAGAGAGTATATATATATATGTGCATGGTCCTACTACGAACCAATGTATGTTTAACATACATGGGCTCACAGCACTTTGTCTAACATGATCATCCTTCTGTGGCCAAGATCAGAAATGAAAAATATCTGATGCACCCCTCATTGTTCATGCATATTGTCATTTGCAGAATCTTCATCAGTCATATTGCCTTTTTCCTGAACAGTGCTAGCAAACATGCCCCCGTAAAACTCACTTTTCAGGTCAGGATTTACGCTAAGATTATAAACAATTGTTTTACACGAATAATAATTTTGCAGGGTTGTACATCTTCAATTTTGGCAAATCTAGTTGGTGATCATCGCAAAACGCACCAGGATCAGCACAGATTGTAGTTCATTTTAAATTCTCACGCCAGTCATTAGAAACGTGATGCTAACTTATACGCGAGATAAATGAAAAATGACACATTTTCTAACCAGAAACTCTAGGACAACTACGTGGGAATGTATGTGCTACTAGATGGTATTTTTTGTTTACACATGTCGACAAAATCGACGTTTACAAAACAATCCTATCGCTGCTCACCCCTCACTTTCACATATACAATGTGAATAGTGACTGCCACTCACGTATCGTCCGTAGATGGGAGAGCATATGAACATCACGAGTTCAAATACACTAAAGATGAATCCTATTTGCGATTCTGTCGCGCCCTTCTTTTCTGCCTGAAATCGAAAAAACACATTCAATGCTGTTAAATACTTTTTTTTTTACTTTTTTGCTTCACACTTTCTTGCGAATTCTTGCAATGGAATGTTGAGATACACTTACCTTGAACTTGTCTATGGTGAAATATAATAATATATGTTTAAAGTGGTATTCAATTTTTTCTGCTGCACCTGCTCAGAAAAATACGAACGTCAAACGTTGTACTTTGTCAATGTTGCTATTATAGCCTTGTTCCCACGAGACCTCGTATTTACGAATTACGATATTTGCGAAATACCGAATCTGAGACAAATACGTGACCGAGTGTTCACACGCTAATTCACGGCTCCAGAAATGCCGTATTTGCGAGCTGCGAGCTGCTTTAAGCCTGACGCACATTGCCGAACATTTTCCCAAAACAAATGTTCGTCCGAACAAATGTTTTTGTCTGGCAATGTGCGGGTGAACAATTGCTGAGCGCACATTGCCGAACATTTTCCCAAACAAATGTTTGTCCGAACAAATGTTTTTGTCTGGCAATGTGCGGGTGAACAATTGCTGAGCGCACATTGCCGAACATTTTGCAGCGAACAACCTCATGGCGCCGTCTAGTAGCTGTGTTGTAAAGAGTCACGTGATCGGCGTGTGGCCAATCGGCGTGATAGGAATTTACAAATGTTCCTAGAATTGTTCGACATTCAGCGCACATTGACAAACATTCGACGAACAATGTTCGAGATATCAAACATTTCGAATCTTCAGAAACATTGTTCGAAACAAATGTTCGGCGACTTTTTTCACCGCACATTGCCGAACATTTCATGGAACATTGCTACGATAATGTTTTTGAGCAAAATGTTCGGCAATGTGCGCCTGGCTTTATTAATGTATTTGCCTTTTATGTTTACATGCCACAGCACCATCTCTTGGATGTTTTATAAGTAAATATAGGGATTTTCAATAAAATAATGCGTTTTTAATGTATTTACCACGATTTACGTATAGAAACTATATATGTTATTTTTACTGATTTCTCCGTATATTTTCTTGGAGTTTTCATCGTCTTTCAATGCCTTTCGGTAGATTTTTCGGCGTTTTCTGCGTGATTATTATTTTGCGCAGGCACTCATTTTGGAAATCCTCCAATATTTTTACTTCTTCCTTAGTTAAGTTAGTCCATGTTTCACTGTTATTTAGGAAGGAAGGTAAGGTCTCATCCGCGCGCAGCGCTTAGGATCAACAGCAAAGCTGTGCCGCGCAATCTTGTATTATGTCTCTCTGGATGCTCATACTGACTCAATGGGACATAGATCCATGCACTACCCCATGTAGCTGTGAAAAGATTTGCAGTAGATGGCACGATAGCTAAGGCATTAGCAACAAGAAACGTGCTTCAAATCATGTTAATTCTTGTTACGTCCTTCTAAGCCTGTTATCCCGTGATGCGGTGTACAACAGAGTTTTCTCTTTTACTCATGTCTTCTTAAAAGGGGTCACAGCATGGTAAAAAAACTGGTTCTCTTAGAACCTTAGGGCCTTTCTTCTACTACGCACAGGTATTTTTTAAACATTTTTGGCAAGTATACCTATTCCAAAAACACTGATGGTTTATCAATGGATCTGTTCAGGAGTCTATCAATATTGATAGACTCCTGATCTGTTGTATTTACCATCAGGATATGCACTGCGAATGTACACTGTAGAGCAGCTTGCTTTAAAAGGAAATGTCAATGTTTACTATTAACATACGCATGAAAAAAAAGCATAGTTACACATCTGAATGAGTCAGCTGCCAATCAAGCTTATATCACTAATCCTAACCCCATAGTCTAAATATAACTCTGCACATGTAACCCTTCGCTCAACTTCCGCAAGTACATATATCCTGTAGTACAACGAGGGTTTTCATGGGTAGATAAATTCCAATGTACATAAATGCATGCATAATGTACAACAGACTCGGGATGACAGTGTACATACCTCGCCGGGGAAGAAGGGAGCGATGAGTGAGAAACAGACCGTGTGGCAGAAGTTGGCCAGCCCCATCTGCACCAGCACTCGTTTCTGACGGCTGGTGTACTTGTAACTGCTGCTTTTCCCATCGAAGGCCGGGTCCCCTGGCACAGCCGAGCCATCTGCGTTTTAAGACAGCAATGCGATCACCATCCAGGGGTAGAAATTAACTTTTTAATAAGGGAGTCCCACGATTTTCAGGAAGTCACACGGACTCCTGCATATGTCAAAATCAGGTAGTCCGGCAGTAAATCAGGGAGTATATGACTCCGGACTCGGGTTAATTTCGCACCCTGCCATCGCTCTCCAGGGTTTTAACACCCAAGAGAAAACATTTCTCTGGGAAACTTTGACGTGTTTCCCCAACAATTGGGTTCACCTTTCATGACTGCGAGATGCAATTAAGCTACCCGCCAATCAACAATTTTCGAACAAACTCTTGCTTGCATATTGCAAATTTTATTGTGTTTCAGACACATGAGAGATAAGTTAAGTTTCATGTCCTTTCCAGAATCAAGCTCAATGACAACTTTTTTCCAGGAACAATGCTTATATTCAGGGATGTTCTAGTCCTGGAAAACGTCAATTAAAAATTCCTGGATTTTATCTATGTTCTATATATAGCCTTGTTAATCATGATTTATCCCACAACGAATGACCGGCACATTTGTCGGTGTGACAAAATGCTACGATTACTTACCACTTTTGAAGCAATTGTCTTGGTCGCTCTCGTTTAGTCTTGCCTTTCGCTCGGTACTAGTAGAGAGCAAAGGAGACGTTTCTGTTGAGTCCCGGGTTACCATGGCTGTGATTTGATCTCCAGAATTAATTACAACCGTGGGTACAATGTATATGCCCCATTAAGCACGTAGCAATTAAGCAGCCAGTCACATAAACGTTCCTTTTAGCACGCGTCTTGGCACGTGTGAAAACTCAGGCTGGCATCCAATCAACCTTGTCTGTGAACTGAAAGAAGTTCATATGTACAGCATGTTAATTTCAAGTGCATACTTCTCACCACCATGAGGATGTAATGCATGCACGTTTCCAAAAGATGTATAGATACTATCAGGAGTATGATAATATAGGAGTATGACACTCCAAAATACGTGAAATTCAACATTTGCTTGCCTAATTTTACCGATGATATATTACGTGCAACTCGATAAAAATTACATCTAAATTAGCGTTGGACATCCACCTCTCACTCAAAGTTTACTTAGTTTCCATACCTCTTCTTTTTATGGAGATATAGCTTTGAACGTCACACATGGTTCATAGCTTTTGACTAGGCTTGTGGCTTAGCTTTCCTCGCCTTCCTAACTGTTGTTATGCAGTGTGAGGAATGGTCTCTTGTCTGTTCACAAGAATGCCCCCTGTTGGCGGTGGCAAGCGGGGTGCGATGGGGGGTTTGAAAGTACGTGTAACCGTAACCGCCAACAGGAAAGCTAAGCCACAAGCCTAGTCAAAAGCCATGAACCATGTGTGACGTTCAAAGCTATATCTCCATAAAAAGAAGAGGTATGGAAACTAAGTAAAGTTTGAGTGAGAGGTGGATGTCCAACGCTAATTTAGATGTAATTTTTATCGAGTTGCACATAATATATCATCGGTAAAATTAGGCAAGCAAATGTTGAATTTCACGTATTTTGGAGTGTCATACTCCTCCTATATTATCTTACTCCTGATACTATAATATCTCTATAAAACACTACTGACCGAATTAATTAAATCCAGGGCCAGAGTTGCACAATTCACATCCAGTGAGCTAGCCCCACAGCTACACCAGTGCAAACTAACTGTGAGTATAATAGTTCAATACCTAGGAGGGATATGTTTGCACATACCCAGATATCTGTTCCCAATATCAAGATTTTAATCACAGCCAGAGACAGCTATCTCAATGCACACATGAGGGTGGCCTGGTGGCCTGCATATCAGAAGTAGATAATAGGGAATTCCCAATATATCTACTTCTGATATCGTGCAGCTCGTGCATGACCATACTGACGTCTCTATCACTGTGCATGTAAAGCTTTCTGGCACTTCAGGGTAGTGACACCAATAGCTAGGGGTCTAGTGGTTTGGTAATATACTAAATGTTAGCACTATACGATAAGAAAGATTGAATGTAAAGTTGCAGTACATGAATGTAATATGCATGTCACACATGCCATATGTCACGTGCTGTGATACGTTTCTTAATATATAATCGCAACATAAGCATGCAATCATTATAATTTATATATATGTAATACTGCAGCCACAAATATTTATCAAAAAATAGTAGATTACCCTACTACATTTGGTTACTATGAGTACGAGAAATTACAATACATTGTTTGTTGGACTGGATCATTCATTGTTTACCTAATTAGTACGAATAGTAATTACCTAGCTGGAATATATAATAATCATATAATCATGATTATGAAGGACCCGGCCTATACATAAAATTACTGGACAAGGTCAGAAACGAAATACTCTACAAGAAGATCAACACCATCCCATGGAGCCATACAATCATAATCAGGAGACTCTGATGGCTGGGCCATGCAATGAGACAACCACCAACAGCTCCAGCCCAGAAAGCAATGGCTGAGTACTTTCGACCTGTGTGAAAGGATCCCGGACATCCGAAAACAACCTGGTTCGATGTGATGAGTAAAGAGTATCGAGATGAGCCACGATCTTGAGAGACTAGAGTTCCCACAAGCACTTGGAGTGTTTCAATAAAATATAATGATAAATAAACACGAAATGTATTTCCTACAAGTCTTAATGTTTCTCTACTCTCTTTCGCCTATTAATTCTTATTGCAGACAATTTCCCGTTCAAACGCTCCTTTCCAATACACACTGTACCATCCTGTTGTACTTAACTTTGGGGATTGCGACACTTCCAGAAAGAATTTTGTTGAGAAGGTTGAGTCGGTTCTCTTTATGGCGTAGTTGAAGATTTGGCCAATTATGTGATAGTAAGACTGCAGTTACGCAGTTTTTATCATGTTTTAATCACGATCTATTTACTCTTGTTTGATATCGGTGCAAAAACTCTTAGCTTATGTTAATAATGTACATTATATAGCCTACCGATGTCGATGAAAATAAATTTTACTTGAACTTGAACTTGAACACTGCAACAAGGATACACCGCACGCACGCCGCCGCACGGTCACACTTATAGTTATAATATAGTGCACGTCTACTGGCACATGATCGTGAGCTTTGGAGGCTGGGAGCGCAATGACTGCTATGGTCACAGTAGCACTAGTAGATGAAGCGTTCACAGTAGCACTAGTAGATGATTATGCTGATTCATCATGAAGTCTGAAGTGAAGATAATGCTGATTCATGATGATGATGATTATTTGACGTTATAACTATATTGAATTTATAATAATGACGCTACCTTCTTCTGTAATCCTTGATAGCTCTACGTGTACGTCACTTGTGGTAAATCTGAGTACTACACACCATAATACAAATGTTTTTTTCTTACATAATCTATAGTAATCTTAGAGGTAAGTCCTCCATTAGGTGGGTCCTTGGTAATGGTAATAAAGTTGAAGATAGAGCCGTGATAGCGCTGTGCATTCGCCGGGTGCGCGTCCAATGTAAACGTCAACATTCAACATACGTATGAGCACATTATTCGTATGTCAGCCTAAATAAAAAACTTTGCCATATTTGCCATTTATAATTAGCAAAATATAATAAAATTAATAAACCGTATATATAATAAATAAATTGTACTTTTTTATATATAGCACTATTAGTTTAGTAATGTAGGGTCGTTTTATGTTTACGGAAGGGAAGAAGTAGAAACGTTTGAAATCACTACATAGTTTTTACCTGCGCTGGTTCCATCATGGCGTCCTCCAGTGAAATTTTAAAGAGACATTTCCCGGACATAGATTCAACAGTTTTAGATTATGTAAATGGTATGTACATTATTTTTTGTTTTCCTTTGGTCACATGCTATGTAATATACGGATAAGACAATTAGTTTTTCGTTTAATATTGACAAAATAAATACAGTGGCTTGATATCTTGGTTCCTTTTACAAGTTGCCATTGCATTTCGTAATCGTGTCAAATTGAAATTGTAGTTTGTGCGCCGTGAGTCGTTCCTCATTAAATCTACGTTGGTTTATACGTCACTCTGTGATGGGTTACATTGGTTTACCACTACCACTCAGTCACCATTGGCATTGTACCAGGGTTGACAAGCCTCACGCATTTGGAGTGAGACTCACGCAATTCAGCACAATCTCACGCTCTCACGCACATTTCTGATACTAGTCCCCGAAAATCTCACGCAATTGCAAGAATCCAGTTTTTCTGTGCTTACTTGCCCACCTTTGCTTATATAAGCAACAAATATCATGTTCAGATTGCTGATGAGGGCATCAAATAGCACCCCATTTAAAAAAAAATTCCTACCGGGGGAGGGGGGACATAATCCCAACCCTACATCCAGTCATCCACCCACCCCCCTTTCGCGCCTGCGGCGCGAAGGCTAAGGCCAAAGTCCTTAGATTTTCTGATTAAAAAAAAATCTCACTCATTTTTAAAGCTACCCCTTGAGAGCCCTGATTGTACTGATAAACTAAATTTAATCATGAACACACTTCATCACATACCAGTATGACAGTTCTTGACAATAACTAGATTAAAAAGCTTGACGCGATTTCCATGTCATTCCTATGAAATATACTGTCGTAAAAACTGTCATCATATATCAGCAATAAAGTATAATGCATTCACTAATATTACATTGTAATATGTCATTTACTGTTATTTTCGAAGGAATTATCGAAGGCGATGCAGACGAATTTAACGAGGCTCAAGATCTACACGACGTGATCGGTGACTTCCTGGTAGACTCCACCGGAATCACGAGCGATGACGAGATACTAGACATTTGCCAAGAGTTATGGTGTATCATGAACGGGTAGGTGCTTCTAAGCGCTCGCCATTCAGACCTCTCCATTTTAAAACGAATCAAAGAACAACAGGCCTAAAATGTTCAAACGTTCAAAATGGTTAAAGAGGTTTTCAAAAGATTGTCAATCATTTACCCCCTCCCCATGATCGCGTAGTCGAAAGAAGTTGAAAGGCTGACCGATAGAAAGTAGATAGAGTCAATGCTTTTGGATGTGTTTAAATTTTCTTCTTTGTCTTCTTCTTTATCTACAGGGCTTCTCCCAGCTAGCTTTTTTCAAGCCATTATAGTAAAAACTAAAAATGAGACTCTAACATAAAAAGTTAAAGGAAACATGATCAGCTCGTAAATTTTTCGACTAAAGGTTCATAATGTGAACCCAGCTTAATGAACACAAACTAGCTAGTGCAGGGTTTCTGTCAGAATTCTACCTAATATGGAAAGGTATGTGTGGAATGCATGTGAGGCTAATGAATTAAAAAAATTTGACGAGTTGATTAATTCAATTTTTCTCCAGCAATGTTGAGCAGAACGGAGGAACGCAGAGAAGTGCCGTGGGTATGCGAAAGCTGGACAAAACGGTACACCTCAGTACAAAGGCGCAGGAGCAAAACACACGGCTAGAGGCAGACTCGAGTATATGGCTCAAAGTAAAGAAAGACGAATCGGTAAGTTTTCCCATCGCTTAAAAACTAATTACAAAATCTAAATATATATTATAGGTACAGCTTCGCATTGCACCCGTTCAAATGTCTGTAATCATGCCCGATAGGTTTCTTATCTTGAATTATCTTCTGGCATTTTTGTTATCTGATACTATCTTAAAGTGATTACGTCACGAATTTCTAGCATCATCAAGTAGTATATTTGTGTGTTATTTGTACAAAATAAAATGTATGAAAATACAATTAGTGTTTCTGTTTACTTTTCATGCTTATATACCTTCTTTATATGCCCTAATTTGCCGGTGAAAAACAGAGAGACGCCAGTATCTGAACAGTACTGGGGGAATAGTGTTAGACAACAGAAATTACCAATTCGTCTAGATTTTTGCAAATTTAACCAACGTAAAAACATTTTTATCAGGTGAGAGTTTAAGGATATATTTAGTAACGTTAGTTCTTACTTTTAATGTAAAAAAATGGGATTTTTTTTTTACAAATTTTACCATGGAAAATTCGTGACGTAGTCAATTTAACTGGTGTTATCTTGTGTTGTGTAACATTGTGGTACACAGCAAGTAGATCAGAAGAAGCTAGAAAAGGCAGAAGCTAGATTGAAGCAGAAGCAGGATAAGCGATCTGGTGCACCGCCGGTAACAAATGGGTGAGTTACGCCAATATTCCACTCGCCCCAGACTTATATGGGGACATGAGCTTGGATTTTAGTTACTGCCAGACACTCACTTTGAGCAAGAACCCTGCCCACTAATGAATGACATGGCATGCCTAAGATGTATCAACCATCAATTAACAACTGATGTTGGTATAATTAGCAACGTAGCATACAGATTATTATGAAATGTATAGTAATGAAAATTAAAAAATAGAGTATGTAAATAACAAATAAGGTACATAAATTGGTATAATCGATAGGGAAAGCCCAACAACTGTTCAAAACAAACTGTTTCAGCTACACACCTTCAGAAGCTACTGCTAGTCAGGCAACCAACAGGAAGGAGACAAAGATGGAGGCCAGTGGCTCAAACAAAACCTTTGATGTACACATTGAGAACTGTGATATTGCATTTGGTGACAAGTGAGTTGTGCATTACCTGTCTCTCTGCGAGTTAATGTCATCCGATTTCATTGTAAATACCAGACGCTAGCTAATTAGAAAAGGCTGTGAATTCAATTTGTAAGAAGAGGTTTATTTATAAAGTGTAACATATGTAACGTAGTAAAACTACAGAGTGATATTGCATAACATAATATTGACTACCCTTATTTACATTACATTATTACATACATTACATAGAGTACAAGTACCCACTTTACATAAGACGAAACGAATCTCCCTACACATACATGCTGGTTCGTGTCTGCTTACAGAGTATTGCTACGAGGTGCCGACATTCAGATGTCGTTTGGCAGACGATACGGTCTGTGTGGACGCAATGGCATTGGAAAAACAACTCTGCTCAGGATGATATCCAGGTACGAATATGCCCCCCCTCAAAAAAAAAAATTGTATTAGCATCCAAACATTATTATACTTCCCTAATTAGCATTTCAAGTTTTTCCTGGAATATTATACATGAACATATGTGAAGCACGAAGAGAGGTCGCAGGGTCACGTCCCACCGCGCGTCGTTTGTCTCTCGAATCTCGCGAATCTTAATTGTTGGGTTGCTTGCTGTCTCCTGGCAGATATCGTTATCTGATCGTTATCTGATCATTATCTGATCGTTATCTGATCGTTATCTGATCGTTATCTGATCGTTATCTGATCGTTATCTGATCGTTATCTGATCATTATCTGATCGTTATCTGATCTTTATCTGATCGTTATCTGATCTTTATCTGATCGTTATCTGATTGTTATCTAATCGTTATCTAATCGTTATCTGATTGTAATCTGATCGTTATCTGATTGCTATCTGATCGTTATCTCTCGGCAGTGCGCAGCTGCGCATCCCGTCGCACATCAGCATGCTTCACGTAGAACAGGAGGTGGTTGGTGATGACACGGCCGCTCTGCAGTCCGTGCTCACCTGCGACTTCGCGCGCGAGCGTCTGCTGAAGCTGGAGCGAGAGCTCAGCGCACAGGTGAACTCCACCAGGTGAGCGAGGGCAGGTGAGCGAGGGCAGGTGAGCGAGGGCAGGTGAGCGAGGGCAGGTGAACTCCACCAGGTGAGCGAGGGCAGGTGTGCGAGGGAAGGTAAGCGAGGGCAGGTGAGCGAGGGCAGGTGAGCGAGAACAGGTGAGTGAGGGCAGGTGAGCGAGGGCAGGTGAACTCCACCAGGTGAGCGAGGGCAGGTGTGCGAGGGAAGGTAAGCGAGGGCAGGTGAGCGAGGGCAGGTGA